AAAGGGTCACCTTTGCAATCTCTTCACGGATTATATGGGGGTTTCTGAAAATAGGGGACCCTAATATAGTACCCTAAATAATAGGATCCTTATTATACGGACCCCAAAATAAGGTACCCCTAAGTTTCGGTAACTCCCATATTGCCCTGTCCAAGGCTCCCCGAGGCTATACACCCTTAAACCCTACATCCTCAAACTGACCCCCATATCTCACTACTTGGAGGGTCGGAGGACTTAGTAACTAGGTAATAAGTAGAGCTATAAGTGCCCTAAATGGGATCCTAATTGTGGTTACGGTACTTATAACTCTGTAAACGTAACTACTTACTAAGTCCCCCGACCCTCCAAGTAGGGATATACTTGGGCCTGACAGCACCTATATGAAGCCCCTCTTTTCAGGAATTCGCTTAAGGCCTAAGCCTAAACCCTAAACCCAAAGCCCTGAACCGTCTGGACTATGACTCCCAGGGCAAGTGTAACTAGCAAGCCCTAGATACCCCAAAAGCCCCCAAAGCCCTTAGATAATATAGGGACCTTAATAATATTCTTTAGAATAGGGCTTGGGGGTATATTATACCATAATTGCCAATAAGGAGCCCCCGAAACCCTATTCCATTTATTAAGGCCCCTAGATACCCCAAAACGCTTCCCGAGGTACCCCTAGCGTAGGGGCCTTAATAATTAGAATAGGGTTCCCTTAAAGGGATCCAAAAACAGGTTCTGTGAAAGGGAACCAAAAGAAGGGATCTATGAAAAAAGGGTTCTATAATGTAGGGGCCGAAATCATCAGAGTAGGGTTCTGGGGTATATTATACAAAAAAATTATAATTAGGAACCACCACGGCAATTATTTAGGCCCTTACATTAAACCGTATATACCCTAAACCCCAAACCCTAAACCCCAAACCCTAAACCCTACACCCCAAACCCTAAACCCAAAACCCTTAAACTCTAAACCCCAAACCCTAAACCCTAAACCCCAAACCCTAAACCCTTAACCCCAAACCCCAAACCCTAAACCCTAAACCCTAAACCCTTAAACTCACTAAACTGACTCCCAGAGGTCTCGAATGCGGGTTCTCCACGAAGACCACTCTGTCATCAGCAGCAGCCCAAGCTCGGCCCACGGGGCTGGTAATGACATCCGAGAAGTCGTACCTTCTCTCTTTAAATAACAGCCTGAGGCTTAAGATGTTTAAGGAAGCCCTAAACCCTAAACCCTACACCCTAAACCCTAAACCCTAAACCCTAAATCCTAAACCCTAACATATAAAGGGGCTCTTCTTAAAACCTAAACAGATTTTGGAGCCTCGGGTGCGATTCGGGCTTCAGGTTCAAGTGTTTTGATTGGTTTAGGGTTTAGGGTTTAGGCTTTAGGGTAAATCTTGGCTTTCATTCGGTAGCTTTGCAGGGCATATCTTCGTTTTACGGCTTGCTTTCTTGCTTCCTTGCATTCAGTCTTGTATAAGGGCTGTATAAGGACTTAGCATTGCTGCGCCTTCTAGTTCGTATTACTTAGTCTTCTCGAACAGGGTTTGGGGTCTGGGGAAGTAAACAGCTCATCCTCACAGCCATATCCGATAATATTCAGTTGTGGTTTAGTTCGTTGGGGCTTTAGGGTTAAGAGCTTCAAGGTTTAGCTTGTCGAGCTGAAAAAATGCTAGAGAGCACTCTAGAAACTGCTTCCGTCGGCTAAGAGAAGCGGAGATGAAGGGCTTCAACTCCATCGGGAAGGCGGCTGAGGCGTGGGGCCCGAAGACCACGGTATCGATGCGAGAAGCCACATCTTTGAAACTCTGGCCATGTTCTTTGCCCTGCCAGAAAACCTCTCTTCTTCAACAACCAGGCCCAAACAAAGTTCGAACTTTTTAGGATAGACTTAATATATAAAGCCAGAAAGTTTAAAGTTCTCCCATTGGCTATCTAAGAAACAAGATCATCAAACTCAAACTGCCGGCCAGCTGGAATCCAGTGTAAGTCACCAGTTGCCTTGTGCCCGTCATCCCCATCATCATCATCATCATTGCTCCTCGGGTCCAACAACCCAAATTTCTAACCAACCAAAACCCTAAACCCTAAACCCTAAACCCTAAACCCTAAGCCCTAAGCCCTAAGCCCTAAACCCTAAACCCTAAACCCTAAACCAAATGATCTCATAACGGAGGGACTCTGAGCTCTCTGCTGTAAAGGCGTCGATACCCCAAACATACGACCCCCATGCCTTATGCGGGTAGTTCTCCAAACTACTGTTGATGGTATATATCCTGCATTACTTTAAATACCCTCAACTATGGTTATTATGGTATATTCCTTGTTATGGGTAATGCAGGATTTATATCATCAACCGTAGGGTCCCTTTCTTACTCCCCCAAAAAACTACGGCACCCTTCAAGAAGCCCAAAGGCGACCCTAATGTAGTCAGCCCTTCCAGTCTTACAGTACGCTTATAGAAAGCCTATAGAAACCCTTATAGATCCCTCTAAGGAACCCTAAAACCCTCTTTTTTTGGCCCATCCTCTTCCGCTTGCCGGACATCTTGTCTAGACGTATGGGCAACAGTCTTCGTGTGGCGAAGGCGCGTGCCGTGGCATGTAGGGACGGAGCTACGAGCTTGAGAGAAGACATCGACTCCCCACATGTACAAGTCTGTGACGACACAGCAACCCAGATACTCCAATACCCCTTAATTACGGAATATACCTTAAATCTTATTAGGGATCCTACTATAATTTAAGGTACATTCCTTAATTAAGGGGTATTGGAGTCTCTGGGAAGATAACAACCACTGTTGAAAAGACGTCCTCCAGTCTCTAGCTGCAATGTTCAGGCCGTGAGCGTTCAACACGAAAGCTGTAGTGAGATTACTGGTAAAACGGGCCATCACACTACGAACGCTTTGTATGAAGGGTGGCCTCCACAATGATAGTATAGGGACCTTGATGAAAACTATTTGGATACAGGCTTGTGTTGTTTGTATTATTGTAGTATATGTCATACTAAAGACTTAGGAGTTAATGTGGGCAAAGATTCACATAACTCCCAAAATCTTTTGAAGAACTCATAGCAGGGAACCTATCAGGAACCTAAGACCACATAAAGAGAAAATGGGCCCTCTGAGAGACCTCGTTGGAACATGATTATCCTCATGCCCTTGAGGTAAAGTATAGGGAATCCTAGCACTGATTTGACTTAATCCATGTTCCTGCTTTCTGGGGTTCCCACAGTTACATCACGTTCCTGCGGGGTTACCACCATAAAGGGAAGGGCTGCCACAAGACCGGTTACTACAAAGGCTCCTAATGGGTTGCTGTAAGGGGTCCTAAAGGGTTACTAGAAAGGGCGACTATAAGGGTTACTACACGGACTCTTATGTGGGGTTTCCTCACCCAGTTTGAGCCCTAAACCCCAGACTCGAAATTTCAAAACTGAAACCCTGAACACCTTAAACACAGAGTAAACCTCCACAGGACCTGTATCGCATTTTGTTACCATTTTCGCCCGAAAGAACTCTTAGCAGGTTCTTTAAAGCTTGCACAACTTTGTCCCACCCGTAGCCCCATGACAAGTAGAAACGGCACTAGCAATAATGACACGAATGACAAACAGCAACTATTGGAATGATGGTAGCAATAATGGCAACAATAAAAACGTTCCGTAGTCATAACAATAACAATGAACAAAGAGTAGTATATTGTAACATAATCTGCGATATTAGTTATTAGTTAACTCGACTAGCTCAGCGTTTCCTTGGCGCTGGCTGTGTGCGTCTGAAGGGCGGCTATCTCACGCCACAGGGCCTTCGCAACTCAAGGGTGCAGGTAGGGGTTGAGGGTGTAAGGTTCCTTCAAGACGAAGGTGAACCCTGAAAGGGTTCAAGGTTCATATACCATATAGTGATTCATAGTAGAAGGGTAGGGTCCAGAGTGCAGGCGCGCTAGGATGCAGGGTTTACAGCGGATAGGATTTATATGCGAGTGCTTCCTGGTTTGCGGGAACCCTATAGCCTAAACCCCTAAACCCCCTTAGGGCAAGAAGCTAAGCTGAAATCTTGGGCCTGAATGATTAGACTCAGGTTTTGGAACAATCAAAATGTAAACCTTAAAACCCAGGAATAAGGCTGGCAATTATTCCGGCCTTTAAATTACCATGGCAACAAACACCCCAGAGCCTCACGAAAACACTGGAACACAACTTATTTTACTTCGAACATCCCCACCCTACAGATAATGCGTTTGGGGTCAATGCCACTGACTGGCGTTACGGTCGTGGGGTCCCCGGTCATGCAACAAAATTCATCAGTCCGATTCAGGTCGTTCGACGACCCATGGGGTCACACCACCGATTGGTGATACGGACGTGGGGTCCCCGTAGTTACACGCAACACAACACCTGTTCGAGTCAGGTCGGTGGACGATCCATGGGGTCACACCAGTGACCGGCGTTAGCAAAACACGAGTGTTCGATTCAGGTCAGTCGACGGTCCGTTGGGTCACACCGCTGACTGGGCGGTATGGTCGTGGGCCATCATACGTGAAAACGAAACAACATCAATAACAACCATAATTGCCTGTTGATCCGAAAAAAAGCCGTAACACTCGCATTTTACAGGATGGCTGTCTCCAGTATAAGCGCTCACCGTTGATTTCTTGCAGGCATTGCCCATCTCATCGTGGAGATTCCCAAGTATTTTTCCATCACAATGCATTTCAGATGAAACTACTCTGTACCACAAAACTCAATCTGCGCGACGCGACTGCATCCCCTGCCGTAGACGCTTGACATCCTCCCGCTCCGTGGACACGACCTCCGCAACATCCCGGAAGATCGCACGGAGCTCGTGCTGTATGTGGAAATCCTCGGCCGTGGCTTTTCGAATCTTCGAAGTCTCCCTCGGAGTCCAGTTTGATTCTTTGGTGATCGTCCGAAGCCTAAAGGATGAGCTGCCCGCAAGCGCCGGAGCCAGGCAGGGAAGCAGATACCAGCAAAATCCAAGCGAAATGCAAGAAGAACGCTACTGTGCCCTACTGCTAAAATCCGTTGTGCCAGTCAAAGCTCTATCCTCAAAAAGCTACAAGAACCCCTCGTTGGACAAGCCCCCATGTGTCTGAGGACAACGCTTACTTCCCCGTGCATCATCATTGTGACTAGGCAGAGGCGGTGAAGGATCAATAGTCTGAACATCGCCATCCTCCAAAAAGCCGTTTATTGCCGCCCCGGGCTCTTCGTCCATGTTGAGCCCTGGACGGCGTCAGAGGCGCACGGTACGACTCCGATAAGAAATTCAGGGTACCCTAAACTTGGCGGGTATTACTTATGACCCTGAACCGAGCACTATCCAAATAATAAACTCAGGGCACCCTGCCTCGGCTACTACTACTACTACTACCACCACCACTACCAGTACCACTACTACTACGACGACGACTGCTACTACTAACTACTAATACTCATGCTCATCTAATTTCAGTACTCTTTATTGTTAACAATGATGAACCAGGAAAGAGAAATAGACGGCGGCCTTCATGTCACCCAAGGTGGCCTTGGACAACGTTGGAAAGCACATGTTCTGGGTTCTATAGGGACTTGGAGTTTAAGGCTTAAGGTTTGAGGGTTAAGGGTCAAAGGTCTAGGGTTTAGAGGGTTTACGGTTTAAGGGTTTGCAGTAAGGTTTGGAGTTTAGGGTTTAGGAGTTGTGGTGTAGGGTAGCTGTCAAGACCTGCTCTTTTTAAGGGGAGATATGAGGGTGTCGTGCTTACAGGGCATGGACCTGAGTCGAACATACTCAACTATTGTAGGGCCTAAATAACTAGCCTAGGGTTTTGGACTCCTTTATAGTTTGGTTGAAGGAACCCTAACAAACGATCTTGGCGATTATTTAAGCTTCTATGGTAATCTGCTGGCACAAGCCTGCGGCTTCCAAGCGCTGATGGCCAGGCGGTGATGAACAAAGGATGTATGTCCTACTCTTAGTGACCCTTCCCGCGAACGCTAAATGCAAATGTGCTGAACGCACTCCGAACGCAATTTCGGAACGGGTCTGCAGATCGCTGCCGAACACCTGCATGCAGGTGGCATTCTCTGGGTCCCCCCATCCTCTTGCTCTTGAGGGTCCTTGTTGTCCTTCGGGGTTTGAAACGCCTTCTGCTTTCTAGCCTGCT